GTGAGAGATATTTTGCCACTCTTCTTGAATTTTTTCCAACAAATTAGCTTTTTCTACACAAGTTTCAGTCCCTATTCTTAATTTTAATTCTTGCCATAAGTGCTCTTTTAGATTTGAATCTGGAGATTAACTTGGCCACTCTAAAACTGGGACCTTTTTCTGAAAAAAAACTTGTTGAAGGAGCTGTGATCGATGTTTTGGATCATTGTTTTGTTGAAAGATCCATTCTCGTCGCATATTTTTCTATACATAAGGCAGCATTACATCTAATATAATATCCCTATACTTAGTAGAGTCCATCAATTTTGAAAATTGGACCAACGCCTTTCCAAGGAAAAGCTCCCCATAGCATGATGTTTGCGCCATAGTGTTTCACAGTTGGTCTTTAATATGGTGTATCATTTTTGGTACCTTTATGTCGTCAAACATATCTTCTCCCATCGTTTTCAAAAAAATTAATTTTAGTTTCGTCTGAGAACAGAACTTTTCTCTAATCACTAATAGTCCAAAACTGATGTTTTTCCATCTATCTTTTTTTCTTTTACTGATCAATGGTTTCTTAACACCAATGCGTCCAAAAAGTTCCACTTCGTTTTGTCTTCGACACACGATACTTTGACTAATGTCAGCTATATTTTCTTCACGTAATTCACGTGCAATAATAGTTGCATTTTTCTTCACATCTGAGACAACCTTTCTTTTGATTAACACGCTGAGTGGTTTTTCTAGGTCACCCAGGATTGTTTTCAGCTTCTACAGTACCAGTAATCTCAAATTTTTTAAATATATCATTAACAGTCGATTTCCCCATAGCCAAAGTTAACAATATTTCACGTGAAATTTCATCTTCATTGTGTAAATTCAAAATTAATTCATATTTGTCTGATGAAATCCGTTTCGACATTTTGGCGGATGATAACTGATCAGATAATGCAGAACAAACAACGTACTCAATGTTTACATATCATATGGACTGAAATACATTCTTTTCCGATTAGTAAATACCTTTATAGATTTTGGCCAGATATTTATTAAGTATTAAAAATTTTTCTTTTTGTTGTAAATAATTATTGATTTTTATATTTAATTATCTAACTATGTATATTGTAACACAATAAATGTACTTTATAACAATATATCAAAGATTTTATATTTTAATATTTACACCATAGTTAATTATAAAAATATGGTTGGCCGGATAATTTTGCATGCAACTGTACTAGTTATATAATTTTATTTTTTAGATATCCTGTATTGGAAAATTTATATATTAAGTAATATTATGTCACATTATCAATATAGTAATCGAACTAAATAAAATCTGTTCAAGCTATGAATGAATTAATCTCAGTAAAAACTTATTTCTTTAAACAAATCAATTATATATATTAAATAAAACTTTTGTTGTATATGTAAGGTGTAATAAAGTAGACGAACATACTGACTTTAAATTTATTTATATTTTTATTTATTTTATTTAAAAAGTGGTTTAGTGTGCACTGTCTAGAAAAGGTATCTGTTCACTATAACAGTTACTGAGTGAGTTGACGCTCTCGCCTAATCTACGTATACTTCTTGATTTCTCTGCGATATGCGCGCACTCCCCCTGTAATACTAACCCAGTCAGAAAAAACTTATTTGTTCTTTCTAAGATAGTACCTTTGATTTCATACATTAATTTTGATTTCTTCTAACACAATAAAAATATTTTATACAGATTATCTTCATATGTGCCCAGCTTTTTATTATATTTAGAAAACATTTTCGTCAGTTGATTAATATAAACTTGTTATGAAAAGCATACATGTTACGTACTAGGCCTACTAATAAATGTTTACATACTGAGAATTTGAAGCTGTTAAAGTATGTTTATAGATACATTTGATTATTTTGACGTTAAGAGAAAATATTCAGAGTAAGATATTCTCGATTGAACTGAAATTATTATAATTATATCTTGTGATGAATTATTACAATTATATCTGTTATGATGAATAGCATACGATTTCCCTGAATTAATTTACCATTACAAAATGTACCTGAAGTGTACATATTTTTTAAAGAAATATTGTTAATTAGTGTTGAAATCCATTTTTTGTTGTTGATTTTTTGCTATTTAAATAAATTTTTGTAAAAAGTAATTTTTTTCACATGATAAATTTTTTTCTTATAAAGCACTCCATAAAATATGTTTGGGAAAAGCTTAAATGACTCAAAATGTGCTATAATATATGAAAAAAATTAGTCCCGACAGAGTTATGCCGACTCCATCTCATGTACCTCTGGTATACCGTGAGCTTTCGACTTTTCAATCTTTGACATATCTTTGCTAATCATCTATGGATATTTCTGTAATAATTTATGCAGTTCAGCTATTGCTGACATTCTATCGAATTTATTTGCATTGATCCGAAAAGTGAGCCCACACTTCTCGATATATATTTACCTAATCCACTCGCCTCATAACAAAGGCAGAAGTTCAACTCGAAGGTTCCGTACGAAACGTTAATCGAGTTAATTGAGTAAATTCTCAGGCTAATCTGTTATTTACAAAACGTAACTAACCTATGCGATATATCGTATACTTTCGCTCGTGGAAACAGCTGTTCCTTGCACTTCAGACATCAGTGTAATCGCCGCGCCATTGTTGATCTCGTACTAAATCGGTTGGTCACTGATTTCCAGTCTGGTGTGGAACTTTTCCCGGCTTTGCCTGTCTCCTAATATGGTGGTCTCGTTGGCTGACATTTTGTGGTCTTCTCTTCTGTCTTTTAGATATGGCCATCATTCCATAAAAATTATAAGTTATTGAGTGTGGTAGAATGCAATCCGCAATCCAATGCCAATAAATAACTATCCGCACACCTATAGCAACATTTAACTTTTCCGCTTAGAATTTCAGTTAATCGCTCTGTGTACTTGAGTCAGGCGGCAGTCACTGTTGCTGCGATTCTTGATGGCTTCGTCTTCTCTCTTAGAGCTTAACGGTGTAAAGATACTCGACTGTCACTTTTTCGACTTTCAGCCCGCTGATCACCTTCACGGTCAATTCCATGCTTCTTGCTGTGACATCCACTGCATCGAATGTTCAATTCTTCAATAATATGCTCTGTATTTTCATGTCTGCCAACCCCAAAATGAACTAATTTCGTAGAGCCATCATTTGAAAAAGTCTAAAGTATAAACGGTGCCTAATTTGATGATAGCATAGCAAAATCTTGAGCATTTTCTCCTACTATGTGGTGTCTGATCAGAATTTGAAATCTTTCGCTATCTCGAGTATCTTGGATGTGAACCAACTAGCAAACTTTTTTTTTATCTTCGTTTGTTTTTGCTTACGGATCGACCAGCCCATAATAGTCACAAAAGGTGATGTACGCTTCATCGCTGATGCAGTATAGAAGATTTATTTTTTTTTTGCGTTCTCGATTTTGTAAATTGCAAACACTCCTAATCTACTGCCCCAAAATTGATGTACTGGAAGTAAAAGAATGTACCTGTGGAGTCTGAATAATCACCGCTGTGCCATTTTGAAATAATATAGTTTATTTCCTTGAAAAATCACAATGAGGACCATGAAATTATTGTCGCTTAGCAAACCTCTCACATTTTTCGCGTAAATATGCACGACCTTGCTGATTTTTCTTCTTAATAATCTAATTCTTCTCCTCATCGCGAATCTGTTATGCATGTAACCTCGAATGTGTGCTTTATTCTACACTTTGTGTAAAAGGCATCTGTTCGCTATAACGGTTGCTATGTGCAAATCGATACTCTCGTTCGTTCTACCTATGTTTCTTTATTTCTCAGATTATTGATGTACATGTACATTCACACACACTGGTCATACTTGTATACATTCCTAACAATTTTATTTCCAGTCACAATTTGATGACAAGAAACCTGCAAAGTAATTGTACGGAAATGGAAGATAGCAATGAGAAACATACTACCCATATTCACAGTGACATCTTGAAGAAAAAATTTTTATTAAATAATTTTAACAGGCAACAAGAAAACTCATATAATGACTAAACCACTTCTTTATGATAATAATTAAAAGATAGATTATGGCTTAAATTGAACTATATGTACATTTAGTAGAAAACATGTTAAGTTAATAATATATTAGAATAAAAATAATCATGATTTAAATTTAGTTTGATTTTAGTTATACATACATATATACGTTATATATTATATAGTACAAGAAAACAAATATCACAATAAATTCTACAATGATTCTTTAAAAGATACTGATGTTACTCAAATTGGAGTAGTACAAGTAAAATTTTATTGATTATTTATTATTCAAGCAAGAAGGTATTAGAATTTTACTTTAATCAAAATTCAATTGTTTATTCTAACATAAAAGATAAGAGCTGTAGTATTTTCTTATCACAATTGAAAATTGACATTAAGAGTTTGACTCTAGAGCAGTATTAAAAGAATTATTAGAAGTTATCCTGTGTATTGAATGTACTTATTTATGAATTCTCTAATATTAAGCTTATTAAAAGTCTTGATAGTAGGACCGTGCATAACATTTTTGTTATTTGTATTTTTGAATACCTGTATGCATTATAAAACTAATAGTACTAAACAGTCATTTGTAGCATATAAAGAAATTGTCCATTTATTTTAAGTCAGATTACTTGAATTTTATTTTAACCTTCGAAATTGAATTTCCTTATTAAAAAAGAAAACAACAATAATATTATAACAACAATAAATAAATAAGCGATGGAGTTTAAGAGGCAATAACTTGATTTTCCATATGCAAAATAATATGGCAAATAAAACCGTGTCATTACATTTAAAAATGTTTGGAGAGAGAAAATATTTAACTTATCTGACGAACCGGTATTTCGTATGTTTTGAAACTAAAATGATTATTTAATAGGAAACCTTAATAACAACCTCCACGTGTATGAGAACGTCTGTGGCGACTTCAAATAAGAGGTCGCCGTCACATGTAATCTCGAAGAGGAGGGGAAACTCGTAACAGCACTATGTAGAGCTATGGTTCATTTTCATTTCTCTACTGTAAGAGTTTGGCAGACAAATTTATTCGATTAAAAATTATATATTGTAAAAGAAATAGGTAAATATCATGCGAAAGTGTAGTTTCATTACTAAGGCAGAATTATAACAAGGTAATATTTGTTTCATGATTGAAATATATAATGTGCAATTATTTTACTCACATTCTGTAAGGAATACAAGATAACTATAAGTCTATTATATTAATAAATTTTGGCTTAAGTTCTATTATGATAGTGATTTTAGTTATTGAAAAAATCAGATCTCCCATAATATAAATCACTTTATTACATTATATATTATTTCAGAGTAGACATCAAATTTAATTAATTATATATATATATTTTGTACTGAAAAAAATTAATGATTTGAAACAGATATTTGTTGTTTTTGAAATTGGATGTTTATCAAATTGATCAAATAGTAGAAGGTCGATGATCGATCTGTTCAGTAGTTATTTCCCATGTGGAGGTAGTTGATTGAGGTTTCTTGAAAACATTTTTAAATATAAAAAATAACACATATAAATTTTATTACATTAAAACTTTGGTTTAGCAATAATTAATTTTAAATCACGAAGTTTATGAGAAAAAGAAATTGTTATAATTATATATAATGAAATGTTTTAAAACATGAAGTACATTGTAAAAATATATATGTAAAAATGTATGGATAGCTAGCTGAAAAGTAAAGAGAATAAAAACACTGAATATCATCCATGATTTTATTTTCATATAATATATAGTCATAGCTGATACTTTAATGCGTTCTGGTCATGGGAGTTTTTTAATGTTATTATTTTATGAGTTGACCCTTAACTTCTTTCAACAATTTTCGTCACTTTAATATGGAAGGTATTAATCTTAATTGTGCATTTTTAAAAGACGATTAAGTATCTGAAAAGTTGTGAAACATTTATTCAACATGGTCGATTCAGATATTTTTAGCTAAAACTACTTTACCTGTGATTTGCAACATTTTTTTCACATGGAACTTGGTGATGACAATATTTGCTATGATAAACCATAATCTGTAGTAAAGTATTTCTCTTTTCCTCTCTTAGAAATTATCATACGATTACGGTATGGTATATTAAACGATAAAAAGTTTTTAAGGAAAAATTTCATTTCAATTTTGTGATATAATATGCACCTAATTATACGATTCATCATATAATAATTTAAAGAATTAAATTAAAGAGTTTGCCTTCTATATAATATTATATATAATATCATTTATCATATTTATGTCACTTCAATCAATTGCATAACTTGTTACTATTTGATTTATGCTTAAATTTATTTCATTGTAAATTAACAATTTGTAATTTTATTTTAGAAAATCTTCTATGCTCTATTGATGTTCCTAGACACGTCTAGCGCGCTTTGCGCCCTCATGCCAGATTTTTTATTTTTATATGTCAACTTACGGCCATTCATAAACCAACATTTTTGCAATCAAATTTAAATTCTCCAATATACGATATACATATATAATTGTATATTTCAAAAATTGTACAAATGTCAAATTTGAATATTAAGTGAATAAATAATCAACTAAAGCTTAGGGGTAGTAAGAAAATTATATCATAGTTTCAAATATATAAATGTAGAAAAAGTTGTCGAATAATATTACTTCCTAAGATATTGACGTGTAATCATCGTGAGCCTTAACTGACTTGTTATAAAAATTCAATACAAGCAAGATTCTTTTATTGAAATGTTTTCTAGCATGAAAAACTAGTATTTTAAAATCATTAAAATGAACCATTCATTTCTTTTTGAAACAAAACGAGATTTTTTAATTCAAACTCATAACTTTGTATTCGAGATTATTTGTTGCAAATAATTATCACGAGAACGTATACACCCATTGGGTGGAGTATAGATACAGCCATGCCTATATGCCATATATACACAGCATATGTAAACAATGAATGAATCTAAATAAATCTTAACCTTTCACTACTATTCAGGCCAAAAAATAGGATTAATTTATAATTGGTATATTTAAATTTCATTTACTGTTTTTATTTTAAAGAGTCCAGATCGATTTTACAGAAAGTTCAATATTATATTTAAAATGCCTATAAACTTTTTGAGTCACGGAGATAATCGTAACAGATTGTGCTTTTTCAGTTTTAAAGTGAATAGTATTGTTAATTTGAAAAATAGAAATATAATGAGAAATATAACTCCGAATGGAAAAACTAAGGAGCACGTTAAGAAAGTTTTATTTGATTACGATTCTTCTCGAGGAGAATTTCCTACAAGCATTTGTACTTTATGTTTTAAAAAACTTTATAATTCAAAAGTGAATGAAAATCAAGCAATAACAGTACCAGATCTCAGTCAATTTAAACCTATTAGAATAAGTGTTCCTCCTTTAATTTTATGAAATATATCATATATATAGAATATATAGAATTGAAGAAGTGTCGAGTATTTTATATATATCATTATTCATATATTTTATATGCGTACTAATGTCAGGAGTAGGAAGATCTCGTTACGGGGAAATGTCACCGACTTGTTGACCTTTTGTTTCCTTTTTTTCTCTGCTTCGTTCACCAGACACGAGTGCACACGGTGCGACGGTGGAATTTCTACTGCAGCATTGCCGAGACTTGATGAGATTTAATCTTTGATTCGCTCCGATAACAGAATATCTCTCTTTGTGTATGTAGGCGCGTACGCGCTTTTTTCCTCTTTCCTTGAAAATTTGATAAATTTGAAAATTGCATTTGTCCCTCGATGTTCGTCGTCGTCGCCGGGCGATCGAACGCGCGTCCTCCGGATCCGCAGGTCGATGCTCTACCGCTAGAGCTACTGCCACTGTTACTACAGGCAATACCGTATTGTATATATTAGCTACACGATTGATATGTGGGGCGGCGGCGGCGGCTGCTGCTGGGGAGGGCCCAAGCGCTAATACATACAACATACAAATGATAATAAATTTTAATAAATATACTAATTATAATAAATATTATACATAAATATTTATTATAATTGGTATATAACGAATAATTTTTTTTGCTGTTCAATGTGCTCGCGCGCGCGTGTGTGTGTATGTGGGTGTATGTGCATGATCGCTGACATAGAAAGACATATTATTAATAATTATTTATTATATAAAAAATACAACAAAATATGAAAATGTACAAAAAAATACAAAAAAAATATAAAAAATGTACAAAAAATTATTAAAAAAAAACTAACGCTTAGTTATCGTCATCATCATCGTCGTCATCATCGTCGTCGTCGTCGTCGTCGTCGAAATGAAAAAAGAACAGAACCTCTTTTTAATGTAAAGAACATATATGCTCTTATTATTATTATAAAAAATTTATGTATAACTAATACCATTATATTGATAAATTAATAAAATTTAAATATAATTCTGTTATTAGTATAATGGTATTAATTATATATAAAATTTTATAATAATAAGAACATATCTATTTACATTTAAATGATTTTGTTCTTTATATTATGAAAAAAACAGAATGAGAGAGAGAGAGAGAGAGAGAGAGCAAATCTGCTCAGTTGAGTAACTAGCATCATGGCTGAGTATTTCAAGAACACAGCTTTGTTGCTCTTGCGCGCACAACGTCTGGTGAATGCATGTTATGCTAGTGTCGATGACATCGAAAGATTGTTGATACTGGGTTCATTGGCTTTACGCAAAACCGATGAGCTTTCCCGTTCACCTAGCTTGATTATGTCTGACAGACAGAAGCTGCAGGCAGCAATGTGCAGGATTAGAAGCGTTTTATATCTGCTAAATAAATACAAGAGTAGGCTATTGGCACAGCCCCCCACTGCCACCTCATCGATTGGCGAACCTGTGGTGAGCAAGCATAGCGAACAATCAATATACGAACCTCTCGTTATTTTGGATGTAGTTGGTGAAGGTCTCGAACCGGCTAGTACTACTACTATTACTACCACTACCAACACTACTACTACTACCACTACTATACTACTACTACTACTACTACCACTTCTACTACTACTACCACTAGACTAGCTGTTGTCAATCCAGCTCAAGACTCAATAGTTCGCCGGAACGACATCAATAGTGCGTTCAAAGGCAGAATGAAGACTGGTGTGATAACCAGTCTGAAACATCTAGATTTGAATACGTTTTTGAGGCATGCCAAACCATTATTACATGCTCAAATTAAGGAGACCTTGAAGAAACATAGTTCTTTAAAAGCGAATGCCGTACTGGATGCCGAGTATGTAGTCGAAAAGAATAATTGCGATTAAACGCTCGATGCGAAGCATTTCAATACGAAGATGGCACCGATATATGTAACTACAGACATAAACGAGTGGTTCATTGAAAACGTTTTAGAACCAATCAGTAAGACCACGGAAGAATTTCAAGAGCAAGACTCGGGCTGGTCTCTTCGTGTTATATTAAACTTAACCGCAAATATCAACAAGTACAATTCTATGAGGACTGGTTCTTCCGTTGCATTACCCGAGCCTATCAGAAGAAATAAAGCCTGTGTGAATGTGTAGAACAACGACAACGAATGCTTCAAATGGGCCATCCTTTCGGCGTTACATCCAGTCACAAGGAATGCATGCCGTGTCACTGCCTATACTGCTCATCAAGATAAATATAATTTCAAAGATCTATCATTTCCGGTACATCCGAAAGAAATCGTGAAATTTGAAAAGCAAAACAACTTTTCAGTGAATGTGTACTTTTTAAATTTGAATAATGGGTCCTACGATGTGTTGCCGCAACATTTGACGGATGAGAAAAAAGACAGGCACGTGAATCTTCTTCTAGTAGAAAATTATTATATCGATGTTAATGCCGATGTGAACGAAGAGCAGCAGCAGCAACAGCAACAGCAACAGCAGCAAATGGAACGTCCCGGTATACCATACAAAGTGCGCTACGTTTGGATAAAAGACTTATCTCGATTGATGTATCGACAGTTGTCTTTTCGCAAATGTAAGTCGTACATATGCGATCGTTGCTTGCACTATTTTTTAACTGAAGAGAGACTGAAAACGCACGAGATCGACTGTAAAAATGTGAATATGTGTAAAATTTTACTTCCCAGCGGCAAGGATAAATATTTACAATT